TGCCTTACTAGTAGTAACAAGAAGCTATTAGGAACAAGTGCATCGCTAGTAGTAACAAGTGCCTTACTAGTAGTAACAAGAAGCTACTAGTAACAAGTGCAACGCTTCTAGTAACAAGTGCCTTACTAGTAGTAACAAGAAGCTACTAGTAACAAGTGCATCGCTTCTAGTAACAAGTGCCTTACTAGTAGTAACAAGAAGCTATTAGGAACAAGTGCATCGCTTCGAGTAACAAGTGCCTTACTAGTAGTAACAAGAAGCTATTAGGAACAAGTGCATCGCTTCTAGTAACAAGTGCCTTACTAGTAGTAACAAGAAGCTATTAGGAACAAGTGCATCGCCAGTAGTAACAAGTGCCTTACTAGTAGTAACAAGAAGCTACTAGTAACAAGTGCATCGCTTCTAGTAACAAGTGCCTTACTAGTAGTAACAAGAAGCTATTAGGAACAAATGCATCGCTAGTAGTAACAAGTGCCTTACTAGTAGTAACAAGAAGCTACTAGTAACAAGTGCATCGCTTCTAGTAACAAGTGCCTTACTAGTACTAACAAGAAACTAGTAGAAACAACAAGCTAATAGCGAACCTTGTTCCTAGTAGCGATGCAAGGAGCCCCTAGTAGCGTTCTTGCTCCTAGTAGTAAGGCCAGGAGCCCCTAGTAGCATGTTTTTTTGATCGAAAAAAGAAGACAAGCAGTTAAGTAGTTAACATCCTCATCTATCCTTCAATCCTGGGCCATTGTTTGGATCGTGTCTTGGAAGGTGAAGAAGATACAGGGAGTATCCTCCAATCTGGCGATGTGGCCGTTTGGTTGTATACAACTTTGGGTCAAAAGGTTCACATCATCCCGGTAAGCCGCTCATCCCGGGCGAGACGCTCATCGCAGGCCTTGCCCTTGGGTGATTTACTCTTGTTTAAGCTGATTGCTTTGTAGAGGCAAGCTTGAAAGACCTTGCAAAAGTTATACCCAATAGAGGGTCCCTCAAGATTCATCCTTTCATATCACTTGAGTTGTCCTTTCATATTCATATCACTCGAGAGCTTGCTTCATCCTAGGTACAGCATCCAATGGGATTTGAGGACGAGTGTGGCCTTTTGACCAATGCATTTTGTGTCAAGTTCCGCCCTTTTGCTCTTTCCCTTCTCTCCTCGTCTCTCCTGTCTTTTCCCTCTTTTCTTCTCTCCATAGCGATGGCCTCCAACCTACTAGCGATGGCTTCCAACCCACTAGGGATGGCTGGTCATTCCTCTCCTTCTCTATCTTCTCTCCATTACTGTGTTGATGCTGGTAGCAATCGCACTCATGGCCTTGATTCACTGTGAGGACGCAGATGAACTGTACAGCCACGCCCAACGACATGACAACCTGTGAGACCGACAGGGACACAACCTATGCCTTGTCACCGACGGCTTCCCGCAGATGCAACTTTGCAGATATTCAATCTGTGGAAGAAAGATTAGCGCCTCTAGTCTGCTAGGAGTTCAGAGTGACATAGCAACCACGCTACTAGTAGCTCCTGGCATTACTACTATATACTAGCAAGAAGCTACTAGTAACAAGGGCAGGAGCTACTAGTAGCAAGAAGCTTGTCTTTTGTTATAGAATCCAAACATGGATGTTTAAGGGACATGTTCCTCAAAGGGAGCTAAGCCTCTAAGCGCTTTGGAAGATTCCTAGAAGTGAACTGGTATTCGCGAGATTCGCTCCTGTCCGGACTTGAGGTATCACCGCAGTCAGTGGATACCCCATTTTTTTCCATTTTTGATGAAGCAGGTGGTGTTGCTTGTTGGATGGCAACGGGATACCAGATGATTAGTGGCTATCCGGTCACGATGATGTAGGTGGTCAACCCGA